GACTCCATCACCTTCTCCTTCCCTAGCAGTTCAATCAAGTAGAATGGCTGAGTCTCCTGGTGACCGCTTATACTTCGACTGTTAGCCCACTTATGTTGCTGAGCCCGTAGAGGAGGGAAAGACTGAATTCTTCCTTGATGACAAGTGCTATGGGCCTAAGAACTGCGTGCTAGATTCCAGTTGGCGTAAGGACGCTGAGAGACTAGGCCTGGCCGCTGTTGGGAAGAAGTTTTTCAGTTTTGGGGAGGGCTACAAGCTGGTTCTGCCTGCTAATGGTGCGAAGGGCGAGGTGCGTTTGGCTCCTGCTTAGCTGCAGGCTGTTGTTGGCACCGTGGCTACTGGCGAGCGTGCTGGGTCCAGCCGCGCTGAGCCTGAGCCTTCGTCTTCTACTGTTGGGAGTAGGCGTGTTACTCGCCGTGCTCCTCAAAAGGTGGCTTCAGATTCCGAGGCGTTAGTGGCGCCTGCTGCTTCCCCTGAGAAGCAGTCTGTCGCGACTTCTGGCCGGGTGGCACCTCAGACTTCTGCTGCCAAAAGGCCACGTGAACAAGCTTCTAAAGAACCAAAGGTTACTGCCGATGATTTTGCTGACAGTGTTCTCCAGTTTCCTTCTAAGGGGACTGAGACCATTGTTGTGGGTGACAAACCCGTTTCCTCTGCTGAGCATGTTCTGCTCTTTCCTACTCCTACTGATGATAATGCTGCTGCGAAGGGCACTGCCGTTCCTTCTGTTGCAGGTACTGATTTTCAACTCCCTTATGAATCTGTCCTGGAGCTTCCTAGGTTTCCGCCGCGTCCTTACGGGTTGAAGAGGCGGCTCCGAAGTGCTACCCAGGGTGCGCTCTCCCGAGCTACGGGCTCTCTCTAGCAGGATCGTCCAGTGATTGACCTGGAGGACGATCTTGTGTCTTCTGCCCCTCCTAGGGATGAGCTAGAGGCGAAAAAGTCTCGCACTTCTCCTGGCCCAGACCCTCTTGCTTCCACGTCTGCCAACACTGGATTTTCAGGTGGGAACGTTGTTGGGGGAGACACTTAGAACTCCAGTGAGCTTAACTACTGCGTTCATCCGTTCTTGGGTGATGCCTTTGAGAATCCTCTTCTGCGTCCTCACTCTCTGCTAGAGAGACTTTTCGCCCTACTGGGGCCATTGAGTTTGCTGAGGTCCCTATTGACATTCATCTTCGCCCAATACTCTGTCCTTCTGGAGCTGAGAACGCTCCCTTTCGGCCTTTGATGAATGTGAGGGCTAATGAGTCTTTATTTGTAGATGACCCTCAGAAGGGTGGTACCCTAGGATACCTCCTAACTCAGGCGGTTCGTCTCCCTGCAGATTCTACGTGCAGTTCAGTCAGCCTTCCAGCAGCTACTGCTTGCCATGATTTGCAGAAGGTTAGTCTCTGCTTTTGGCTTTTCTTTTTCTCGTTTCAGCTTTTCTCTGCTTGTTTTGTTGCTTCTGTCTTGTTTTACCTATTATTATACTTCAATTTTATTATTATATATTTTTTTTATTGTTAACTTCTTTTGTTAACTCCCACTTTGGCTGACTCTTCTTTTCTACTTTTCTTGCAGCTTGTTATGTCTGTAGGGGATTTGTCCAATGCCTTGCTGTCAGTGGAGAAGGAATATCAGAACCAGGGTATAACTCTTTCCCAGAAGAGTCTGGAGGTTCAGCAGGCTCAAGCTGAGAGGGATGCTATGGCCAATGAGGTGACTCCGCTGAGGGAGAAGGCGGATGCCTTGCAGCTCCAATTGGGAGAATTTCAGCTCACTTTGACCAAGCTGAAGGACTGCGAGGAGCAGTTGGGGACTTCTCAGGCCAGGGTGAAGACGTTAGAGGCGGAGGTGGCAGATTTACAAGCTGCGCATGCTGTTGTGCTGGAGGCTGCCAGGAGAGAGGCTCTCAAGTCTTTTGCACTCTCTCCTGCTTTCGCTAAGCTCTTGGCTGACCGCCATGATGGAGGATGGGAAGCTGCGGCTCGATGCGTTAGCAGCTTGTATGGTGAGGGTGAAGAGCAGCAGGCTCGCTTTAATGCCTTCTGGGCTAAGGTTGAAGCTGCCGGTGAGACTGGTTTGTTCGATCTTCCCGCTGATCACCCTCGCGCTGATAGCTGCACGATCCCCAACCACGCCGTGCTGAACTTGGAGGTGCCTCTCTTCCCTGACGTTACTGCAGCTATTGGAGTGGAGTCTATGAGTGATGATCAATAAAGGTTATGGCGGCTGTCACCCTCCTACTCCAGTGGTTCCTCTGAGTTTCCCTCTCCCAGATCTGTTGTAACTAGGTAGTTTTTGTTACTATCTTTGGGGTGAATAGCTGCCAAAGATTATGTTTCTCTGCGTATTTTCAGAATACTTTTTCTTTCGTTGCTGGGTCTTTCCAGCTTAACTTCAATTTGTGATCTTCTAACTTTACCCGCTGAGTGTTTCCTTGTCCTGGTGGATGAGGGCTCAGATTTTTTTGTTTTGTGACTAACCTGCTGAATGTTTACTCTACCTTGGTGGGCAGGGGTTCAGCCTTATAATGTATGTTCTTTATGATCTCCTCTTGCTGTTTATTTCATTGTCTGCATGTTTGCTCCTTATTACAATTGGTGGGGCCTCGTAGGTTGGGCCTTCCTGTCTTTTTAATTTAGCTGCCTGGCGCTTTTCTGTTTCTTTTGCGCTCTGATGTGCTTCAGTAGCGACTTTGTTACATTTTGCCTTTCCTGCTTTATCTGCTTCAAGTGTTTGCGTGTTGTGTACTTCACTTGGCTTTGACCAAAGGCTTCGTCTGCGTGCTGGTTGACATATTTGATTGAGCGTTATTCGACTTATCCTTGCCGAGACTTGTTTGTGTCGATCAACTTTTTGCTTATTTCGTCTGTGTCATCAGCTTGCTTTGCTGTGACTTATTTGTGTCATTCAGCTTATTTATGATGCGACTTGTTTATGTCGTTCAGCTTGTTTATGCTGTGACTTATTTATGTCATTCAGCTTATTTATGCTGCGACTTATTTATGTCATTCAGCTTGTTTATGCTGTGACTTATTTATGTCATTCAGCTTATTTATGCTGCGACTTATTTATGTCATTCAGCTTGTTTATACTGCGACTTATTTATGTCATTCAGCTTGTTTATGCTGCAACTTATTTATGTCATTCAACTTGTTTAAGCTGCGACTTATTTATGTCATTCAGCTTGTTTATTGCCTGGTTACTTCTTTTTGTAAGGGCTTACTGCTTGACTGTCTTCTCCTTTCCTCTCCCCCCTCGAAGAGATGGGCTGAATGGGACTAAGAGAACCTTAGTGTTGCCCACGTAGCTCATCTTCTTCTTTTCCTCTCTTCTCCCCTGCTCAAGCTGAACTTGTCAGGCTCCCCCTCAGGCGTCCCAGAGGTGGTGCCCTGTTTTGCTTTTTGCTGGTGAAGTGAGGTTTTAAGGAGGGATGCTTTCACTTTGTCATTTTGCGCTAGAGTGCTTCTTGCCTCTAACACTTTATTATTATTCTTGTTTGATTTCTGCATGTTAGTATATGATCCTTGAGCATACTATATTAAACAAATTTATGCAACATACTCCTCACGTAGAGGCTTGTATTTCATTGAACAAAAATGGCTCAAATGCCTTAATTAACATATCATGGACTGAATAAAGATTTATCGACTTAAAACAACTATGTTTCAGGCTATTTAAACAAAATATTTCTTTAACACATCAGCATTGAAACTGTTTCTTAAGACCTGACCTTCTTGATCTGCAATGAGGAACACGCCTGGTCCAACCTGCTCGTGGATGATGAAAGGGCCTTCCCAGTTTTCTGACAGCTTTCCATGTTGATTTCCTTTTCCAACTGCTGCTGTCCTCCTGAGGACTAAGTCTCCTGGCAGGAGCTCCCTGTGCTTGACCCTTTTGTTGAAAGCTTTTGAGATCCCGCTCTTTTGGGCTGCTTTTAGCCTTACTTCTGGCAGGAAGTTTAGCTCTTTTGGGCTGCTTTTACCCTTATGTCATTATGACTCCTGCCCCACTCCCCGTTTGGGCTGAGGATCCATCCACTTCCACCTTCCAGACCCCAACGTCATCCTCTTTCTCCTCATAGGAGGCTTCCATTATGAAGTCTGCTAAAGCTTGTGCCTTGATGGCTGCTCTAGGCTTGACCTTGAATTCATACTCAGAAAGCTCAATTGCCCACTTTAAGAGTCTACCCGATGCATCCATCTTTTGTAATGCTTTCTCTAGCGGGTGGTTTGTGAGGACCTCTATTATATGCGCGTCAAAGTATGGTTTTAGCTTTCTTGCTGTTGTGACCACTGCGAAGTCTAGCTTCTCTACCAGGGGGTATCTTTGCTCTGCCTCGGTCAGCACGTGAATCACGAAATATATCGGCCTTTGTTGCTTCTGTCTTTCTACCAGCCGAACGGCTGCGATTGTCTGTATTGACGCTGAGATGTACAACTGCAGTTTTTCTGTCAGCTCCGGGCTGATCATTGTTGGGAGCTTAGTCAGACGCTTCTTGATACCCTCAAAGGCTTCTTTCTCCTTAGTCCCCCACTTGAATTCTTTGTTTCCTTTCAACAGCTGATAGAATGGCAAGGCTTTGTCTGCTGACTTGCTGATGAATCTGGTCAGTGCGGCCATTCTGCCTGTCAACCGCATGATATCTTTGATGCTCTTAGGCTCGGGCAGATTGAAGACTGCTTCGACCTTTTCTGGGTTGGCATTTATTCCTCTCTCGCTGATCAGAAAACCAAAAAACTTTCCGAGCTCACTCCAAAGACACATTTTTTCGGGTTGAGCTTGATTCTACACTTGTTCAGGGTGGCAAATGTTTCCTCCAGATCCAGGATATGTGTAGCCTGCGTGACGCTCTTAACAATTGAGTCGTCAATGTATACTTCCACATTTCTTCCCTTCTGGTGAAGGAATACTCTATCCATTGCCTTCTGAAAAGTTGCTCCAGCGTTCTTCAGCCCGAAGGGCATAGCTATGTAATTATACACTCCCCCTTTGGTAATGAATGCAGTTTTCTACCTGTCTGGCTCGTGCAGGCTGATCTGATGGTACCTTGAGAAGGCGTCCATAATGCTTAGAAGGGCGTGCCCACTAATTGAGTCTACTAGTTGATCTATCTGTGGAAGTGGGTAACAGTCCTTCGGGCAGGCTTTATTAAGGTCTGTGAAATCAACACACATTTTCCATTGCCCATTTGCCTTCTTCACCATGACCACGTTGGCTAACCATTTAGGATAGTCACAGAGTTCAATAAATCTTGCTTCCAAGAGTTTTTCCACCTCTTCTTGGATTGCCCGGTTTTTCTCCGTGGAGAAGCTTCGCTTTTTCTGCCTGACTGGCCTAATATCCTCATTCACATTCAGCTTATGCACCATGACTGTTGGGTCAATTCCGGGCATTTCATCTGCGGAAAATGCAAAAATGTCTTTATGCTTTCTCAGCAGCTCTATAAGGTGCACCCCTACTCCTGGATCAATGTCTTTTCCAATCTTCACCGTCCTCGAGGGATCACCTTCTGTGAGCTCGACTTAACGTGCTCCCCGCTGGGAAGTGGTCTGGCCATTTCTTCTTTTTCAGGCTCGAAGTTTTCCATTGCCAACTTTTGTTTATCTTTTTCCCTGTGATACTCTTCACGCCTCCTTTTCCTTGACTTCCACTTAGGCTGCTCAGGGAGCCGTCTCTCAGAACCGGACTACTGTCTGGTTTTGGCAGGCTGCTTTAAGGCAGTTATGTAACATTGTTGGGCTGTCTTCTGGCTTCCCCTGAGCTTTGCTGACCAACCCTCATTAGTTGTGTACGCCATGGCCAGGTGGTAAGTGGATACCACCCCGCCTATCTTGTGGATGAGCGGCCTTCCCATGATTCCATTGTAGGGTGAAGGGGAGTTTATCACGAGAAATTCTGCTCGGACATCACGTCTTTTTGACCTCTCTCCTACCCAGACTGAGATTTCGATTATGCCTTTTGGGGTAAGCCCCGAGCCATTAAACCCGGTGACCTCATAGTTTACTCTCTTCAGGTCTTTTCTGTTCAACTTTAGCTCAATGAACGCACTGATGTATATGATGTTGGCTGAGCTGCCTCCGTCTATCAGTATTCTACCCACCTCCCAGTTTGCAATTCTCATTGTCACCATCAGCGGGTCATCATGAGGGTAAAGTATGCCCTTCTGGTCATACTCGTCGAACGTGGCTCGTGGCTGCGGGGGAAGAGGTGGTCATCTACGCTTATCATTGTCGTTTATTTGATGTATCATCGCCCGCAAGTTAGCCCGCGCTCTATTAACTGTCCCCCATGTACTGGACCCCCACTGATTACGTACACCCTGCCCTCTGGCTTGCCATCTCTATCCTTGTCTCAAGCTGGGCCCCTCTGACCTCCTCTGCGATCAGCTCGGCCCGCTCTATCCTCCTCCCTTCTTCTGGGAGGGTCACCATGCTGCTTAAATTGACTCAGGTATCCTCTCCTGACTAAGTCCTCTATGTTGTCCTTCAAGTGCGTGCATTCTTTAGCGGTATGGTCATAGTCCCCGTGAAAGTCACACCACTTACTGGTATCACGACTCTTGTTTACCATCCTTTGAGGCCTCTGCCACTTATCATCAGCCTTATTTACGCTGAATATGTGAGATCTGGAATGGGTTAGTGGGGTATACTGATCAAACTTCCCAGGCCTTGGCCCTCTCCTTGGATCGGACCTTCTCAGTCCCACTGCCCTGTCCGCTTCTCTACGGTTTTTCTCAGCTCTACTTGGCTGGTTCACCCTGGGTGTGTTCTCTGCCCGGGTGACCTGTGCTTGCTTAACTGAGTCACATGTTGCTTTCCTACCCAGTATTGCTTTGTCAGTCTCGTCTGCTTTGATAAACTCATGCGCTTTACCCAGCGCTTCAGCGAGCGTTTTGAGGCTCTTACGCCCCATATATGCTCTAAATAGTGACCCTGGCAGTAGGCCACTCTGCATTGCTAATAGCGCTACTTTCTGGCTCATATTTGGAATGGTTTTTGCCTCCTTGTTGAATTTGGTGATGAACTCCTTCAGAGGCTCATCCTTTGCCTGAACCAAGGACATCAGCTCGGTTGTCATCTTGGTTCTGTCCACCAAGGTTATGAAATGCTCCATGAACATTCTCTTCAGCTGGCTGTACGAGTATACAGAACATTTGGGGATGGCGCCGTACCATTCCGCTGCCAGCCCCTCCATAGTTGGTAGGAAAGCCTTACACCTGACTGAGTCCGTCATGGTGTAGAGTACCATATGATTCTCGAGAGCTGATATGTGGGTTTTGGGTGTTGTGGTTCCATTGTACTTGCAGCTCGGCATCTTCACCTTCTCCATGGGTTCTTCCAGAATCTCCCGGCAAAATGGGGAATCATCTGGAACAACCTGGATTCGCGCTCGTTTGTCTCTCTCCGGGCTGGGTCCTCGCTCTGCGGCCGGTGACCTACTGCAAGAGACCCGCTTCTCTAGGCTGATTTGAGCGGGGGTTATTTCCTCCATGCTCCATTCCCGATTCAGGTTGCGAGCTTCCATCTCCAATACCTTTTTCCTCAGCTGAATGAGCTCTTTCTGCTCCGAGGTGAGAGTTGAGACTTCCGGCATTTTCGCTGCGGGCTCCGTAGCTGCCATTGTCGGTGATGGGCTTGCCCCCTTACCCATGATGGTAAGGATTGTTGTCATTGCAGCCAGCTGCTCCTTGCTGCACTTAGAGAGGTTCTGCAGAATGGCTGGCATGTTTACGGGCTGCGGTTTTGGGGTTGCAGGTGCTGAGACAATAAGCTCATTGTTCGCGCCTGTTAACAGCATTCCGTACTTCAAAATAGAGTTGGATCCTACCGGATCTACTGGTTTCGCCGCTGCTTTAGCAGTGGCTGATGTCGATCCGATGGGGTTGGATTTCTGCGAGATGGTCGATTTGGGGTTTCCGGTGGATCCTTTTGGATCACTGGTTACTAGGAATGTTTTTTGTGGTGTTTGGCTGGTCTCATTAGTTTTGGACGTGGGTGTTTGTATAGTTTCTTCTCCGGCCATGGTGGTTGGTTAACAAGTCCCTAGCTCAGCTGGTGAACCTCAGGTTAGATGATCTAATCCCCTCCTTCTTGCGCCAATTGTTCCAGGTATGGATCTAAGGGTTCTGTTGGGTAAGCTGGGTCTCGTCAACAACCTACACACGGTAGCACACGTAAACTGCCCTCGGGGGTGGCTTGAGGAACCCCCCTCCGAAGCTTAAGTTAAAGAGTGTTTAGAGAGAGAAAATGTACTTAGAGAGATATAGAAAGTGTAATAACTTGAGTGTCTAACCTCTTTTCCGTTGTACTTTACCCTCTATTTATAGGCGTACTATCTCCTTCGTGGAGAGTTTAGCCTGGTCAGCCCTGCGGGCTGACTCTGCCGGGCTGATGAGCCTTCCTTTAGTTGCTTATTCGGCGGTGAGTGTGCACCCTGGAGGCTGGGAAATAGTTCAGCGGGAGCTATCCTATACAATAGGGTCGTTTTCCCCGTTTTCATTCATTGACAATCATCAATAATCATCCTTAATTCTCTCAAGCAATAGCTTATTCTTCTTCCTCTTTCTAAACTTTCCCCTTTTACCAAATTCCGCATTCACGAGTTCTAGACACACCTAGCCAAATACGAAGTTGCCCTCTTCCTAGGCGTGAAAGGTTGAAAATTTGTAAGGGTTTGGTCCTAAATCCCTATTTAAATTTTTTAATTTATTGTTTGATTTAATATTTTTCTTGAAGTTAATAATGCGTGTATTTTGTTATTAGAAAGAGATACGAGTGTAGGCGTCGTTCGAAGTGCGCCTACGTTAAAGCATGTTGGGAATATGCTTGGCACTCATAAGTAGTGGGAATTGACATAATACGATTAGGGACAAGGAAAGTAGGGAGTCGCCAACAAGTTTTTAAGGAACTTGTAAACCGTTCACGGTTAATAAAAGGCAACCACGATTAAGGGACAACGATAGGCAACAACGATTGACCCGTGAAGGTTACACCCCATTCATAATCCATGAGATTAATAACTCCATATGGTTCGGAACCACGAAAGGAGGATCGGGGATGATGGTACGAAGTGAGTCATGGAGTCACATTCGTCCGTATTGGCCTCTACTTGATTCTTATGGTGAAAAGTGATTCTTGCAATCTCAAAGGCATACAAACAAAATATTCAATCTGCTCCAAACTATTATTAAGCTAAATTGGTTGAATATTAATGCAACATATAATTCTAAAATATCGTGACCACTTGATTAAATAACAAGATTAAAAAAGGAACCTAAACCGGTTGTCCAAGGATGGCCAATAAAAACCGTGATACCAGCAAGTGGTGTGACTTTCACAGAGATCATGGCCATACCATCGATGAATGCACACACTTGAAGGATAACATAGAGGATCCAGTCAGCAGAGGGTACCTAAATCAGTTTAAGCAGCGCGATGATCCTCCCCGAAGGAGGGACGAGGATATAGCAGGCCGCGCTGACCGCAGAGGGAGTCATAGGGGTCCCGCTGGGGACAGAAACAGAGATAGTAAGCCAGAGGGCAGGGTGTATGTGATCAATGGAGGTCCAGTGCATGGAGGAACAGTGAACAAAGCACGGGCCGATCTGCGGGCGATGATACACTAGATAAACTACAACGAGAAGCATAGATGGCCACCTCTTCCCCCCCAGCCGCGAGCCACGTTTGACAAATATGACCAGGAAGGCATAATTTACCCTCATGATCATCCACTGGTACTGACGATGAGAATTGCAAACTGGGAGGTGGACAGGTGATTGATAGATGGAGGCAGTTCAGCCAACATCATATACATCAGCGCGTTCAACGAGCTAAAGTTGGACAAGAAGGATCTAAAAAGGGTGAGTTACGAAGTCACCGGGTTTAATGGATCAGGATTTACTCCCGAAGGTATAATCAATCTCTCAGTACGAGTAGGGGAGAGATCAAAAGGCGCGATGTTCAAGAAGAATTCCTTGTGATAAACTTTCCTTCGCCCTATAATGTGATCATGGGAAAACCGCTCATTCACAAGATAGGCGGAGTGGTATCCACCTACCACCTCGCCATGGCCTACACAACTAACGAAGGGCGGTCAGCAAAGCTCAGGAGAAGCCAGAAGACAGCTCAGTAATGTTATATAACTTCTCTAAAGCAGCCTACAAAGACCTGTTAGCAGCCAACCTCAGAACGGAGGCCCGCTGAGCAGGCTGAGAGGAATTCAAGAAAAAGGAAACTCGAAGAGTATCACAGGGAGAGGGACAAACCGAAGTTAGCAATGGAAAAATTTGAGCCTGCAAAGGAAGAAATGGCCAGGCCACTCCCTAGTGAGGAGCATGTTACAGTTGAGCTCACATAGGGTGGCCCCTCAAGAACGGTGAAGATCGGAAAAGATATCGATCCTGAAGTATGGGTACACCTCATAGAGCTACTGAGAAGGAACAAAGATGTTTTTGCATTCTCCGCAGATGAGATGCCAGGAATTGACCCCGCAGTCATGGTCCATAAGCTGAATGTAAAGGAGGATGAAAAGCCAATCAGGCAGAAGAAACGAAGCTTCTCTTCGGAGAAAAACCAAGCAATCCAGGAGGAAGTGGAGAAACTCTTGGAGTCAGGATTCATCGAGCCTTCCGATTATCCAGAGTGGTTAGCCAACGTTGTCATGGTGAAAAAAGCAAATGGCCAGTAGAGAATGTGTGTTGATTTCACATATCTCAACAAGGCATGCCCGAAAGACTGCTACCCGCTGCCGGGAATTGACCAGCTTGTGGACTCAACCAGCGGGCACGCTTTGCTAAGCTTTATGGACGTCGTCTCAGGGTACCACAAGATCAGCCTGCATGAACCAGACCGGCAGAAAACCACATTCATCACCGAAGGGGGAGTGTACAATTACATAGTTATGCCCTTCAGGCTGAAGAATGCTGGAGAAACCTTTCAGAAGACGATGGATAGTGTGTTCACACACCAGAAGGGTAGAAATGTTGAAGTATATGTTGACGACTTAATTATCAAGAGTATCACGCAGGCAGGGCATATCATGGATCTTGAAGAAACATTCGCTACTTTGAACAAATACAAAATCAAACTCAACCCGAAGAAATGTGTCTTCGGAGTAAGCTTA